GTAGAATCATCAGTAGTTATTCTTTCAGGTTCTGTTTTTATATCAACGTTTTCAATTGAGAGTATACTTTTCTTGACAATGGTGTTTTGACGTGCTCCATTACCTTAAAGTAGATGAAAATACATTTTTTTTTTTTACCAAAACATACTTCGAGAAGAACCAGTATGTCAAGTATGAAGATAATGTCCATTCCCCATACGAAATCCATTATTGAATTTAAATAAAAAATATCGCGAAATAAGCTTGAACTTATTTAACTTCGAGAAGAACCAGTATGTCAAGTATGAAGATAGCATCTATACGAAAACCATTTTTGAATTTAAACGAAAATCGATATGAATGGAAGTTAAGTGGCCGTTCTAAATAATTGGGTGATAGTCGAATGAGATGATGAAGAATAACATACAATTAACTGTATTATGGATGATGAAACAGCAGGTTGGGTATTTTAATCTCTACAGAAATTCTGTGCAAGTCTGTGGTTTTGAATAATGGTTTAAATATTTTAAAATGAATTGATTTATTACCATTATTGAAATTATTGTAACACCATTTTTTTTTCGGGACCACTTTTTGGTTGGAATCACCTGTGCTCGGTTGATAATTGATTTCAACTATTTTCTGAAAAATAAACAATTCCTTATTATATATTTCTATATTACGATCATTTTTATATAAATATTTTACAGTGTTTTCTGGTCGTACTCGTTTACACTTGATTTTTGGTAATTGTTTCTCTGAAGTCATTATACATTCATATCCAGCTACTGAAAAATTTTCTATGTGAAATTTAACACTTGTGAAGTCTTGTGAATTTTATTTTGTATACTTATGTCGTTGATCTCATTTTCGTCAGCCAAACAGTTGCAGTTCTTATGATTAGGTCTTTTCCAAATGGGACAAAATACTCTACGAACCCGATTTGCTTTCTTGACTACACCAACTCCACTAACTTTACCCATTGGTATTGAATTGATAGTAAATATAATCTAATATACTAGGATAATTAGTTAGTAAAGACTTTAATGACATTTCCTAATACTTTACTCTTATATATATATATGAAAGTTAAAATATAGAATTAGTTTATAAAATAACTAAAACGTATAGGTTATGTATATAATTTATACTTGAGCTAGTTATTTTGTACATTCTGTGGCATCATTTCATTAATATGTTATGTATTAAATTGATGTATTCATATATATACAATATCGTTATTTTACGTTCCATTTTAGCAATAAATTAGATAAAATTGCCGTTCTTGTTGTCAGTGACTGCAGTGTTCATGTACGTTTATCGTGTAGATACAATTATTGTTATATATGTATTATTATTCAGATTGTCAATAAAATTGGTAAGGTTTAATGCAACAGACCCAAACTAAGGGTAATTATCCTCCAAGGGGTAAAATAAGATTTTTTTAATGGGTAAAGACTGGACTAAATTTTTTTTTTATGTACTTATCATGAATTTATTTTATTATATACAACCTCAAATTATAATAATTATAATATGAGGTTGTATAAAATGAATTAAATACTAATAATTAATAAATAATAATTATTATTATTGTTATATTATCTTCAAATTATATTTAATTTTATACTCTTAATTATTTTCTGCGAAACCACTAGTTTTTACATACGTTCAAACAAAAAATAAAAAAGTTTTATGTTTCTTTTCACACACACATATATATATATATATATATCCATCATTGCAGTTTCATAAATCGATATAATTGGGTTGCGACAACCGCTAACCCGATAACACGGGTTTTACGTTAGGCCTGGTACACGTGCTTTTTATGAGGTTAGGGATATTTACTAATATTTTACCCAGTTTACGGGTAATAGTCTCGAGACGGTTGAGAACAACTGATTTAAAGTTTAGCTATAGTCTTACTGTCACACACGTTCAGTATTGGTTCGTCTGTCTCTACAATAGCTTTGTATGTACAAATAAATAATGAATTTAGTTTAAAATAAATAAAATGTTATAATATATTTTAAATTTGAATGTATTTTATACTTAAATAAATATCAAACTAAAATTGTATAGAATAACTAGATATTCTAAGAAATAACTAATTAAAGTATAATTTTCATGTATTATTTCATACTTTAATTAACATTTGTAGGTAATTCATGAACTATCTAGTTATTTCATAAAAGAACGGAATTCAATAGCTTAACTGTAACATATACATACATATTGTACAATAGTTCTCTAGAAGGAACTAAGCGAACAGCTTATGTCTCGAATTGCACTAATACAGCAAAGACCATTCGTATTTGTACTCATATAATAAATGAAAAATAAAATAGCAACAGTTTCTGAACACTACATGTATAATAAAATCTTAATAATTTGTAACTTACCAACGCGTGAATAAACAATGTTGTAGCTATCGTTGAATGTGCAGGCAAGGAAAAATATATAAAAGCAATTACAAATCGATTGGAAGAAAAAACGAACCGAATATGAGAAATTCCCGTCGAAAATACGTTCACTGTACGTACGACGGTGACGTTCGTGTGGTTGTTCGTAAATGAATGCGGGCGGTGAGTAGATGCGTCGAAACATTCGGTATGCGCGATGCGAGAAAAATTGAAATAAAAAAGGACGAAAGAAAAATACATGAAACATGCACCAAACATTAGGTGAAAAAAAAAGTGAGTGACACGACCGGTATAAACTAGTGGTTGTCCTTGGACTCTATCCCCTCCAATGTAGCCTACACATCATGAGAGATAAATATTTTGCCTTCTTTCCCACCACATCACCGTGCAATAACATTCCGATATAACACAGGGCCTATGTGCAGTGGCGGACTGGCCAGGGTGGCTATGAGGAAATCTCCTCCTGGGCCGTATTAAATTGTGAAATTTGGGCCGGTAGTTGAACAATAAAATGATAAAATTTTTATTTAACTAACAAATAAAATATTTCTTTTCGTCATTAACATGCAAACTTATAATGGGCTATCATTATTATTATAAACTTATTATTTTTTAATAGCATAAAACATTTACCACTTTTTCTATTGAGGGTAACTAAAATAAACGATTTGGTTGTTTTTTGTATAGATTATTTTTGGCATTAGATAAGCGTGCCTGAAGATCTAATTCCCGTTTCCCAGAACATTATTTTTACGTTATTTAAGTTTATACATTAATTTGTGGCCATGCAGATTGAACACAGAACGTATTGAGTATTTTTTTTTTTCTATTTTAAAATTTACATTGATTTTAAATATTTTATAAATGTTATAATGTTTTGTGTTGTAAATGTAGTGCGAGAATTATCGTTTATCTGTATTATCGGTCGGTCGTCGTCTTTTTAACGCCGACTGGTATATTCGGAACTACTTCGCGTTTTTATTTTATTGTAAGATAATTATTACAACCGACTCTCTTGTGTAGCTTTTTTATGTGTCTACTCGAGTGTCAATCTATTTTCTACAGTCGAATTTAATTCTGTATGTAGGAATGTGTAATAAACTCGTTGCAGTCCTTACATTTTATTAGATTCGACCTTCAATTTATTTTTTTGAATATCTAGACAATCTTCTGGTGGTCTTTTACAATGAATATTACTAAAAAAGTATAAGGTGGAGCAGAAAAAACATTTAATACGAAGTGCTGAAATAAGGTCTGTAGCTTCTGATCCAAAGCAGAAAAAAATTTATTTTTTAAGGTAATCTAATGCTACTAATTCCTTTGATATAATAGAAAATGTGAGTTAAATGTTTGTTACGAAAATCTTAGTTTTAATCCTACAAATTGTTAAAATTAGTGACAATAAATACTAATGTAAATATGTAGGTATAGATGATTTTTGAATTATATCATAATGGTTATTATATTAATATTAAAACAATTATTTTTTTAAATTTTAAATCATAATAAATTAATTTAAGAACTGTTAACTTTATTAACTATTATTAAAAAATATAAATTTTCAAGTTTAAATTCATTGTTAAATTATAAAGATTTTTGGTTGCACGGTAAAGGTACCTACAGTCTTTTGGCAAAAAATATAATTATTAAAAAGTGGATGTTCGTGTAATTATTGATGTGAAACATTTATAGCCGCACGTAAAACCGATTTCTGGCGTGGCGACGCATGCCGTAGCGACGCGTCGCCACGTTATATGATGGTTTATGTGCAATCGTATGTACGGTGTGGCGACGCGTCGCCATGAGCAATCGACTGTCCGATTCTTTCCCACTCGATCCTAGTGTATACTCCGTAGTATATACAGTGTTGTTTACTACAGTACACATAACTTGTGTTTTACTTGAAAACAAATTATTTTTGAAGGTCCGCACACACTGCAGCGGTAGCGGTAAAATTGTATCCCATGTATTTTGATTAGAGAACACACACTGCAGCGGTAAATCGGGTGCGGTAATAATATCGCGATGCGATTTTTACAGAAACCGCTGCATGCTTGAATTTTACCGCTACTGCCCAGCGGTTTTTGATATTTCACTTGAAATTCGTCGTCATTAAATTCAATGTATTCCAGTATTTCAAATAGCATTTTATTACTTATTAGTTATTACCGTATACAAGATAATGAAAAGCCATGAATCTATAGTTATGTGAAACTAGCATTTAGCATTCATCAACATATTTTATTGTTAATAATTACAATTAATAAATAATATAGTTATAATTATCTACTACTCTAAAATATCTAAACTGTATACTAGTTTGAATCATTTCTAAAAGTGTCCATAAATGTATCCAATATGTAACAATAAATTGTGTACGATTGAAGTTGAATAGTCTCTTTTTATTTTTAGTCATATGAACAATTTTTGTTTTTCCAAAATACGTTTGTGTATAATGTTTCGAGATTAGTGATTACTGATTAGTGTTTAGATTAACATCAAAAGCAACTGTACAGTTACTAGTTACTAGTCAGTAAGTAAGTAATAATTACTCATAACTGTAATTACAGATATACGCAATTAGTTTTATTTTACTTCGTAACATATTATATTCAGGCACGTAGCCAGAAAATTTCCACTGGGAGGGCCAATATTTGTTGGCCCTTTTATCATTTATCATAATTTTTCCCAATGAAATACTATTGTAGGGGGCTTCTTCTTCACACTCATTATTAGACGGTATGCCATACAAAAAATCTTATCAATTTATAATTTACCTTTAGTTGGTAGTTAGTTAAAAAAAAATATTTTCACAATAAGTGTACCTATTACAGGGGGGGGGGGAATTAGAAATATCTGCAAATTTACTTTTTGGATGTAAAACAAATTAAGTACACATACAAGTAGAAAATATTAATAATACAGTACTTATTATAATTACTTATATAAATATTAAACAGTTAATATAAAATAATTTTTCTGTTTTTGTGTTGTTCTGAAAATAATTGCACAAAAGTATCTAAATCTAAGTTTTTAGAAATTTTTTTTTCTATGCTTATTAAAGACAAATTGTTCAAACGTTCATTTGTTATTCGATTTCTCATATAATTTTTCAGTCGCCTCAGACATGAAAAAGTTCTTTCACAGGCTGCACTTGATACTGGAATAGTTATTATTATAATAGCTAGCTTATACGTTTCATTGAAAGCTAACTTATACTTCTCAAGTAGTTCAATTAGGTTCATTAGGTTGTTTACCTTAATATTATAATGAATTTGATATTTTTTAATTGTTGTAGGTAAAATTTTTAGTTCTGCTTTTAGATTGTCTTGATCAAGATTATAATGGGCAGCTAAAGGTTTCAAATTATCATAGTTTAAAAACTGTGAATTTTGGGGATGTAAGTAAGATATTGATGATAATACATCATAATTATCTATAAATCGTGCTTCTAGTTCTTTTATTATATAATCCAAGGCAGGTAGGTATACATGTCGGCGTAAACCATTTTTTGATGAAACCCAATTAGTTTCTAAAGAACTGTTTTCAGTAAATATGTACTGTTTAAATTTTTCGGGGACTTTTTTTGTTCTTTTTTTTTTACTATGTTCATTATGTTCATTTGGTATTGATATGCTATTTTCTTTACAAATATTTATAGCCTCATTGTACATTTTATTAAAATTGGAATTGTTGTTCCCGGTTTCATCAGTTCTCATGGTTTTAAAAGTAGTTATGATTGATGAAATAAGGACTAAGGATTCAGCCATTTCAGCTTTTACATTTTGCAAATAATCACTTGTTGTTTTTAGAGTTTGAAGAATATCACAAAACATATTTAAATTAAATACAAAGTCAAAATCTATTAAATGTAGTAAGCCCTTTGATTCAGCCGCACGGTCACCTTGCTCAAATATCAATTTATTTAATAAAACTAGCAGTGGACTAAGACCTTTCTTTAATGCTAAGCAAGCAAAGACTTGAGCCGTCCATCTTGTCAAACATATTCTTTTAAGTTCAACAGTAGGTTTGTATTTCATAATTGTTTGAATTTCCATAAATTTTGAGTGTATAGCAGAACCAGATACAAATACGTATAAATTTTCTATAATATCAAAAAACATTTTTACAGTTGGAATATTTTTGCATACGTCAGAAATTACAAGATTAAGCCTATGATTGTAACAGTGTACATATATAGCCTGGGGTACTTCTTGACGAAATAATGCTTGTACCCCATTATTTTTTCCACTCATGACACTGGCTCCATCATAGGTCTGAGCAACACATTTCAATATATCAACATTACTGACAGAAAGTATTTCTTTAATATATTTAAAGAGAGAACTAGCTGTTAATGACTGTGCAGCTTTAAAACCCATGAAACGTTCATATACTATCCCATCTAAGTAATATCTTAATATAACTGATAACTGTTCCACTTTTGTAATATCTTTTGTTTCATCAACAATTATAGAAAAATACTGACACTTTTTTAATTCATCATTAATTTTGTTATGGATCATTTTATAGAAAATTGAAAATATTTCATTCTGGATTTGAGGGCTTGTATATTTAGCATTATTAGGTAATGTTTTTCTTTTACTTTTAAATTCATCACTAATATCACCGATTAAATTTAAGAGTTCAATAAAGTTACCACGGTTAGCACAACTTTCTTCTTCATTGTCACCCCTCTGTGCTATGCCTTGTAAAGCAGTGTACAGCAAAGTTCTCCCAATAATCTTAATATAATTTCGATTTTCTAAAACTAATTTCTTATGACCTTCATTTATCAAAGATGCCACTGACAAATTACCTAATTTTTTCACATCTGAGTAGGACACCCACATAGTATTTGAAATCTTATGTTCTTCACTATTGTTATGTTTCCTTAAACCTGAATTATGATCTAATGCATTTTTCCAATTTTTGAAACCTACACTTATAAAAATTGGTTTATCTTTGTTTTTGGAGAAAAAACAACATGGAAAACAAAAAGCAGAATTATCTATAACACTATACTCAAGCCAATTATAAATATCAAACCATTTTGATGAGAAATGTCTCATTCTTTTACCAAATTTTGTTTTAGGGTAAGTTACCAATCTTGGCTGTTTTGGTCCATCATCTAGGGTTTGAGAAAGATCTTTTGGTCCAGGAACTAGTTTAACAGTTTTGACTGTTGGGCTACTTGTTGGAACTGATGTAAAATCACTAGCTTCATAAATTGCATCTTCAGATTTACAGTCATCAATATCATCACTACTTGTATTGATATAATCCAGATTTGATGTAATATCACTGTTATCATCATGATCATTATCACTGGAATCATTTTCCCTTGTTTTTTTTGTCACATTGTCTGGAAAATAAAATAAAATTTTTTTAAATAAATATATATTTTTAGACAATTAGACAACATTAAATTTTAAATAAATAACATCAATAGTTTTTATTATGTTAATGATGGATTGCATAGAATCTTTATTTAATATTTTAAAATAAATACATAATATATATAGGTATATATTTATTCATTTAGTAAACTTAATGATTCATTACAATCATTTTTCTTAGACCTTAGTAGGTCATAAACATTTAAATGTACATAACATATTATTATATGCAACCCAGTATATTGCATAAGTAGGTATATTTATAATATTACCTAATAATGTAATAATATTTAACTTGTAAAAATATGCAACATGGTTATTGATTCATAACAAAACTACCAACTACATAATACTAAAACTTATTTCAGTAAATTGTAATTATGTAGTATTTGTATTATAATATAGGATATTATGTGGTATCATAGGTGTCCTTTATAGATAAATACTTCATATTATGTGACATGTGTAATAAATATATTAAAAAAATATTATTAATTATATTTACCATCATCTTCAAATTGTAATTTACAAGAATCTGTTAAGAATAATGGTTCTTTGTTGAAGACTTTCTCAGTCGTAAGTTTACAATTAGAGCTGTCTGAAAAATATAAAATATATTAATTAATTTTTTGTAAAATAAAAATGTTATCGTCGTAAAAGTATGAAATATTAAATATACAAGAAGGTAATTGTAATAATAAATAGTAATAGGTTATAGGTACTTACCAGAAGGGGTAGAACTTATATTTTTAATAGCATCCAATTGAGTTGTACATTTTTTTTTGGCATTGCTAGTAAAATAATTGTTAATACGTTTCATTTTATTCACAGTTCACAAAAGAGACACAACAGTACAAAGGTACAACACACGTACACACGGCCAGCATTCATGCGAAAATACAAATCAAACAATCATAATATTATCTTAGTTCGTCTTTGAGTCTTTCATTTGGTCGAAAATTCTGTGACGCGTTTAACGTTAAACATGAATGAAATAAATAGTCCAAACCCGTATAAAAGTAGGCATATAAATGACATAATAATAATATACACCATGTCACCATATTGTACAAACGTATTATTATAATATATTATACTGTTCTGGGAAAACCAACAACAATAATCAGAAACGAGAATTATCGATATATAAAAATAACAAAAGATAAAATCAATCATTAAATTTAGAGTGGCCTATGTATTAGATTCAGTTTATTAAAAGATAACGGCTCAAACGCTGACAGTCTATATAGCAGTCAGTAGTCGATACACAATACGCACTGACTGCTTACTGCGGGCTACTCTACTATTGTCTATAAAACAGGCATGTCTATCAAGCCCTATTATTTATCTTTTTCAGAAACGTTGTCCACGAATATAAAAATAAGTAGTAATATTAGTAATCACAATAGATTTATTTCAATGTGCATAATACACATTTTTAATAATAATTGGTAAAAATAATTATATTTTGTATTTGGGGGGGCCGGCCCTGGGCCAGAGTAAATTTAAGGTGGGCCCGGCCCACCCAGGCCCCCCTCTAGCTACGTGCCTGATTATATTATAATACAATACTATACAACAATACTATACTAAAAAACCATTTATTTATGTTATTATAAATTATATAACATTGGAAAATCGCCGCAATGCAATGTGAATTTATGACAGTTTATTATTTCCCGGGAGTTTAAATAGCTTAATTAAAAATCCACCAGTCATTGCTACCACCGCAGTTAGTGCAAGCTATAAAATTGCCACCGGTACCGCTACCGCTACTGTGTGAGTGGGCTAGCGATATCGCCATCACCAGCGGTAATCGCTACCGCTACCGCTGCAGTGTGTGCGGACCTTGATGTAAAACATATAATGGCGCGGTACGGTAGTGAGACCGACTGAGGCGTGGCGACGCTCCACTCGTGGTTCGTCGGCCCAATTTGCCGAAGTTAGGCAATTTCCTCTCTAAGCGCGCAATGTCGGCATACCCATATAATATGTACACCTATATTGTTACGTATATATGTAATATGTTGTTTTAATATCGTAATAATATATAATATACGTATATAAATATTTATATATATATATATATATAAATATTTTTTTCTATTAAAATAAGAGTGACAGTGAAAATATAACGAAAATATTGAAACGAGACAGTACATCCGCCGCCAGAGAAAAGAGTTAAATTTCAAGATAACCAAAATGCAGGTCGGAGTGAAATGTCTCCGTCATGTGCACAATTTACTGATTCGAGCCAAAAGTTAATTTTTTTATTTTAATAGAAATTATCAGGGCGGCTCGTTAGGGGAGACTTTGAGACGGCGTCTCCCCCTTTAAATAAATAAAAAACCAGTTACTTTTAAATAATAATTAATTAAAATAAAAATGCATAAAAATATTTTTATTTGAATTGAAATTATATTATATAATTTACATCGTTTTCTTTGTTTTTTATTAAATTGAAAGCCACAAAGTCTGAAACCTATTAATAGTAATAGAAATAGAAATACTATATTAGTTTTTTCGACGACGGCGACGGTCATGTAATAATGAAAATACGAGGGTTGTCCCAAAAGTAATGCACAGCGCGTTCTAGCTGTCTTGCAATATGATATTATCATCTGATTTTAGTATCAGCATTGATTATAGAATAAATAGATAGTCCAAGGTATAGAGATGTTACGGGTAGAGTAAGAAAATCGGGTAATGTATTCATCATCCGGGTAATGTGAACATTACCCAAGCCCATTGGATAAAGTAAACATATTTGTAAAACGTTTATTTTGTAAGTACATCAACCGAGTAATTTTTACATTATCTCCCTTTTAGTGGATAAAGTGTTTTCATAAAATAGAATACGACAAAATATGAACTGTAGATAATATTAATAAAATACGATAAAACATAAATTGTACCTACATGATGATAAATCGTGTGCATTGATATTGTATAATAGTTTTAAACTACATACGGTGCTATTGGTTTTCGTGTTCACTTGTTCAGTTTATTAATGTTTGATCATTTAGTTTTTTAAAAAAAAAAACTTGTCTTCATAAAAAGAGAAATTATATGAAAATTATAATAAATAAATTAATGAAAAGAATGAAAATTCGATAAATTTAACGGAATCAAAATATTATAACATACTATCTGAAATAAGATATAAAATATATATATATATATATATAAGATAAATAAATATTTATAAAGTGTCGGTACAAAAAAATCTTTTTGTGAAATAGCTAATGCACAATTTTTTTCGATGGTCGAAGTTTTAAAAAATGTTTGTTTGAAAATAATCATTTTACAAATAAATGTGCGATTAAATGTAAATCTGGAGAGATATTTTGCAACTCAAAATGCCTCAAAGTGTTTCAATAAATAAATTTATTTAATTTTTTAAAAATTTTTATTGTAAAATAATAACTTAATAATTTTTTTTCGAATTAAATTTATAGCACACTGGATAATGTACACATTATACCAGCGATTCTCAACCGGGGGGTCGCGACCCCCTTGGGGGTCGCCAACAATTTTTTTAGGGTCACCAATTCATGTGGGAAAAAATTGTTTCACTTAGAATCTTATAATTAATAGTAAGTGTTGAAATATATATATTTTTGTTTGGATAGTCCGATAGTCGATAAAAACGTACTATTTATTTATAATACAATGCAAGGCTAATTACAGATAAGATAACAATATAATCGATTACGCGATGTTCTGAGTATTTTATCGGTGTTTCGTCAGTTGTATGTCGTACACCAGCTTGCTGGTAAAGTATTGTTATTATAAGTTATACGCTATTTGTACATAGTGTACGTTTATTCAATACCTAATTATTAAAAAATGAGTAAGCAAACATCTTTGTCAAATTTTTTTAAACAGCCCTCAACATCAAATTCATCTTCAGCAATTGTGAACGGTTCTGATTCAGATGTTAGTGAAAATGAATTAAGACCACCACTTAAAAAGGTAAAACTAACTTCAAAAATTTTGAACTACGATGAAAGGTACGTCGAATACGGGTTTACTTATTTACGTGAAAATAATATAGATTTGCCTCAATGTATTATATGTAGTATGGTGTTGGCCAATGCATCTCTAAAACCTAATAAACTTTTGCGTCATCTTGAAACAAATCACGTTCATTATAAAAATCGAAATAAAGATTTTTTTTTAAGAAAATTACACGAGTAAAAAAATTATCAAATCTTTTACTACTGAAGATAAAAAATACTTAAAATGTTCATATTTGGCAGCCATGCATATAGCTAAATCTAAAAAGGCATATACAATCGGTGAAAAACTATTGAAACCCTGCATGATAGATATTTTTACTGAGTTGTTTGGTAGTGAATATGCAACTAAAATAAACAGTATACCCATGTCCAATGATACTATCAGCAGAAGAATAAATGTTATGGCTGTTGACATTGAATATCAACTTATTCAAAAAATAAACAAATCTATATTATATGGAATTCAAATCGATGAATCTACAGACATTAATAATGAAGCAATATTATTAATTTATATTAGATATGTAGATACCGATTTGAATGACATAAATGAAGAGTTTTTATGTTGTTTAAATTTACCAACGTTTTGTACATCTGAGGAAATTTTCAAAGCTATTTTAGTGTACTTCGACAAAAATGATCTATCTATTTCCAAGTGTATTGGTATATGTACTGACGGTGCTGCAGCCATGACGGGAAAGTTTAATGGTCTTGTAGCACGAATTAAACAGATAGCTCATAAGGATATAATTTCAACACATTGTTTCATTCACCGAGAGCAATTGGCCACTAAAGATATGGGTGAAAATTTATTTAATGTTTTAAATACTTGCATTAAAATCATAAACTTTATTCGATCTAGTGCAGTAAATACGCGTATTTTTAAAGTCATGTGTGACTAAATGGGTTCAGATTACACTAGTTTGCTATTACATACACATGTCAGATGGTTATCACGAGGAAAATGTTTAACTCGTTTATTTGAACTTAAAACCGAAGTGGAAATATTTTTGAAAGATAAAAAATCACCCTTGGGTGATTATTTTGAAAATAATTTATGGTTAGCAAATCTTGTTTATCTTTCAGATATATTCTCTATTCTCAACGATTTAAATTTGAGTTTACAAGGGCCCTATACTAATATTTTTACATCAAACAATAAAATAGAAGCATTTCTTAACAAAATCGAACTTTGGGAAAAAAGATTACAAAAGCTTACGTTTGATATGTTCCCATCTTTTTTAATATGGTGGAAGAAAAAATAATAAATGAAAATGAAATAAATGAAATGCAAAATGTTATTGCGATTCATTTATTAAAACTAAAAGAAAAATTTCTTAAATATTTTGATCCAACGAAAGATATACGTTTAAACAACTTATGGGTTATTAATCCATTTATTAAATCAGAAAAAAATAAATTATCATCATTAAACGAAGAAAAATTAATTGAGTTGTATTCAGACAAAGGGTTGGAACAGATTTTTCATAGTAATAAAAACATAAGTAAATTTTGGATCAAAATTCAATCTGAGTATCCTGCATTGACAGAGGAAGCTTTAAAAAAGTTAATTCCATTTTTAACGACATACTTATGCGAAGCAGGATTTTCTACGATGACTACAATTAAAACTAAATCGAGAAATCGGCTGGATATATCGCCAACAATGAGAATAAGTCTATCCAAATCTATTGAGCCAAGGATTGATAAAATTATTTTAAATCAACAACAACAAAAGAGTCATTAAATTAAAAAATATTCAAATGTACATAGTATACCTTTTTTTGTAAAATATTTAAGACGAAAAAAATTTTAATTTAATATTATATTATCTATTTATTTAAAATTATCTGTAAGTCAAATTAATTACTTTTTTTGTAAAATATATACATAAATAAATACAATAACAGTTTATTCAATTTTTTAATGCTTACTTTACAAAAGGGTCGTTAGACATCTTGGTGACATTATAGGGGGTCGCGAACTCAAAAAGGTTGAGAACCGCTGCATTATGCGATTCATATGAATAAGGTGTACATTACCCGGGTAATGTGTAAACTACCCATTTTCGAACTTTACCCGTAACAGAGATATTAGGCTATTAAAATTATGTTTGTTCTAGCTGCCGATAGAATGCATTGTATGATAGAAAAAATAATTATTTTACAATCTGTATAAATACAGAACGAGCGTCGAGCGCTGCCGCACTGGGCGGGGCGGGCCACGGGTGCTCATAACTCAGGCTGGGGCCACACGGACGCACTAAGTACGCGCGTTGCGACGGACGTACTATTTAACGCGCGCACTAGAGCGGGCACACGAGCGTCAATATGACGTCCGTTAAAAATGTGTTATCATTGATTTTGTATCTTATCTAGTATCTACTTGGTTGTAAAGTTGTAAAGACGTTTTGCGTACTATTTTCACAAAGTTTTTTTTAAATATGGAACCAGATGAAGTTTTTTCCTTCAGTTCTTTAACCTATTTATACCTAAAACAAAAATGGACTAAAAGGGAACATTGGGTTCATCCAATAAATTGTGAACGATATACAAATGGTCATTACGTGAAGTTGTACTATAAACTTCGAGAAGATTCGTCAAAATTTTTTAAGTACTTCCGCATGTCTGTAAGATCATTTGATGAACTTTTACTGTGCATCAAAAATGATATTCAGCTACAAAATACCAATATGCGATTAGCCATACAGCCCGAAGAAATGTTGGTGATAACTTTGAGGTATGTAGGTATTTTTGTAATAAAATTTACTCTTATAAATATAAGTTATTATTCCAGTATTTTATTTATTTTTATTAAATTACTTTATTAGTCAATGTATATTGTTAGTAAGTATTTAAAAATAGATATTACAATTAATTATTTGCTAATGACTGACAATAAAAGAAGTAAAGTTGATATATATATATTTATAATAAATAGGTATACATATTATAATATTTTACTTTTTTAAATAATATTGCGTAAAAAAATATAATTATAAACTGGGATTTAAATAACTAACATTTTCCATAGTTGTATATTCGTTTGACAAATCATCACTGGAGAATTGAGAGTAATAAGACAAAGCAGACGAAGATGATGGTGGACGGAAATTTTCGGGTGTTTTATTGAAAGTTGTAGATGAAGTATTATAAAATTGACTATGTTCTGGCGTTCTTAAATTTTGTAGGAGCTGCATTATTTGCATTCTAATTTCAAATTTCTGATCCATAGTTAAAGATTTAACGGATGGTAGTAATGAATAAAAAAAAGTTAAATCCTCATCGTTGTCAGAGGTTTTCTTTGATGCTTTGTGGCTTTCCATAAAGTCGATTAATGCATGTTCCACATTGGGTTTTTTTCTTTTACTTGTGAATTTTTCGTTTGAAGATGTTGCTGTGATTTCCATATCTATGTTGCTGTTATTTATACCATCGTCAACACAAGTCACTGAATCATGCTCAATTTCATCAAAATTGTCTACTCCATCTTCTTCAGTTGTTGCATAACTAGAATCAGTATTACGTAACTCCTTAGTTTTTCTCAGGAATGATAACTGTTCACCATAGACGTACTGTCTAATTTTTTTAGCCGCCGAACCAGATCTATTACGTTCATCTTGTTTTTTCAAGTTTCGCGTATAATTATCTCGAATTGTACGCCATTTCGAAGTTATATCTTGCACTAAAATAAAAAATAAAAATAAGTTTACTTTTTTTCACATAATGGTTATTAAGTGGATATTTTTGTTTATTTGGTTTTAAATTATTTAATTTTAAATTATTATTAAATTGTTTTAATTAGTTTTTAAATTATTTGATTTTTTTGTTATTTTATCCACCAGATACCTCGCTTCAGGGTGCAGTTTTAAAGAACTACATTATAACTATCGGATTGGGAGAAGTACTGCAAGTGAAGTCGTCAGAAAAGTATGCAAAAGTATTTGGAACAGATTAAAAGAAATATGCATTCCCATCCCTGATCAGGGTATGTGGCTTAAAATTGCCAAAGAATTCAATGAAAGAGCAAATTTTCCAAACTGCTTAGGTGCTGTTGATGGAAAACATATCCGAATCATAAAACCGGAAAGAAGTGGTTCATTATATATGAATTATAAGCATTACTTTTCCATTGGACTGCTAGCTATTGCCGACGCAAACTATAAGTTCATTTATGTAGATGTTGGATCTTATGGAAAAGATTCAGATTCAACTATCTTTAAAAACTCGGCACTTTGGGAAAATTTGAAAAAAAATAATTTGAATATACCTGCATCAACAACAGTACCAGGAGTTGATATTTCATTACCATACGCGTTTGTTGGTGACGAAGCATTTGGACTGGACAAGCACTTACTTCGACCTTACTCTGGTACTCATTTGCCAGTTCGAAAAAAAATATTTAACTATCGTCTATCACGCGCAAGACGATACGTAGAGTGTACATTTGGCATTCTTTCTAATAAGTGGCGTATATTTCACAGACCGATCGATGTACACGTAGATTTCGCAGTCGATATTGTTAAATGTTGTTGCGTTTTACATAATTTTGTTCGTGACCGAGATGGGTTCAAGTTTGACGATACACTAGCAATCAGTGGCTTTGAATAACTTAGCATTGTTGAAAACTATTTGGTACCTCGAAGTCTTAACCGTTATCGTGATGCGTTATCTAATTATTTTGTAAGTGAAGAAGGACAATTGGAATGGCAGATGGGTAAAATATAATCAAAAACTTAATTTATAAAAGAATTAACGTATTTTTAAATTGTGTACCGATGTATTATATTGTATTAGATAAATAATAAAATAAAATATAATACTTACAAATTACTTTTTGTTCAGAGTTATTTTTTTCTTGAAACTTGCTAATGATACTTAAGGCAATCTCCCTCCATGCCGTATTTTTTTTCGTTTTGTCTTTGTAGTTTTCGTCTGCAGTGTTCCACAACAATGGCCTTTTTTGCACCTCATTTATTAAAATTTCGCAGTCAACATTTGCTGCCATAATAATTATTTTAGTGCTTATATTAATAATACTAATTATAATTATTTTTGTATATTATTTACACGTGGACGAGTGGGTCAAAAACGTCTGGATAGGATATAACGTGCGTACTGCGTATACAAAAGTGCGCCCGTGTGACCACGCAGCTGACGTTCACATTTAAAAACAATATAAATTTAATTTTGGCGTTGATATGTTCGACGTCCGTTGTACGTGCGTCGAAGAGATAATACGTCGATAAAATTTGACGTCCGTATTAACGTGCGTTATTTTTAACGCGCGTTACTCGTGTGCCTGCTCCCATAACCGATAATGTAGTCCTACAACGCGCATCAAAAAGTACGTGCGTATCGACGCATTTTGTACGCTCGTGTGGCCCCAGCCTCAGTATTCCATTGCGCCATTGCGGTCAGAGTTATTTATACATTTTATTGATATTTAATTCCTAGCACTCGTACCTAATGATTTATTATTTTAAATGATATGATTAAATCCGTTTACGGCGAAATTTTACAGATTTTACCGAAATTACTCAGTTTTTCAACAGTTTTTTCTCATTTCTGGAAAAACTATGGAGATTTTCGAAAAATGACCTCCCTAAATTACCATCTCAGTCCAGTTTCGAATTATTAATGTTAATTATTAATTCTTATAATAATTTTCAGAAAACATTCTATACTTCACTCCAATAATTTGAGTAGTGAAAATTAAATACCAGGCACCAGATACCTTTTCAATTATTTCAAGTTTGGAAATGTTTTCTTCGACTTTCCACAAGTTAAAAATTGGCACTTGTTACCAGACATTTTTAAAATAACTCACAAGACGTAAAAGTAATAAAAAAAAAAGTACGTAACAAATAACAATAAGGCAAAATACTTAGAATATAAAACAAGCAAGACCTTTCATTGACAAGTGACAACTGCAGAGAAGAATACTTACGTGAAGACTAATCGTAATTCGTATGTTCACAGAGTAAACCATAAAATATTGACGAAATAATGATAATAAAATAATAATCGCTAATTTTATCGATTATAATGGAATAAATATAATGGTACTTCAATTTTTCATTTTACATGAAAAATAATTCTATAAATAGAACGACGGTATTTTTCGCCGACCCCGCGTGATTGCCTTCCCGTCTTCATGACTATCTATGATAGAGGTACCACCACCTTGCATCTAGCTCCCACCGCGTTCGTCGTTCATCTACCTATGATAGAGGTACCACCTCCTTGCATCCCAGCGACGCCAGTGCTCCATAGCGGTTGCATCCTACGAGTAATCGCCAAATATTAACATTGCGTTGACTATCTATCTATTCTATAATCAATGGTATTAATTTGTAGCTTGAAGTCTAACGAACACGTGCGTTTTCAGTTTTAGTTGTTTTAGTAAAGTATAATGATGTGTGAGAGCGATAACGAAAGTGAAAATAATTCGTCGGCTCACATTTCTGTTTTTGAGCAACGCGCATACATTAAAATCGAAACGATTCGTGGTAAAACAGTGCCTGAAATTCATGCCGCGTTAAATGAAGTGTGTGGAACGGATACTGTGGATCGTAGTACGGTGCAAAGATGGCATCAGCGATTCCGTGATGGTCGTATAAGTATTGATAATAACCCTCGCTCTGGCCGACCCTCTACGGTTACTCAAGACAACACTAACGCGGCTATTGTTGCAACTCTACTCGATGAAGACCGACGAATAACGGTGAGAGAGATAGAGAATGAAACAGGTATTTCAAAATCAAGTGTTCACCGCATTTTAACGGAAATTCTACAGAAACGAAAGATTGCAGCACGTTGGGTGCCTCATTTTCTGTCACCGGAACAGAAGGATACACGCAAAGACATCTGCCGTGAACTCCTTTCTCAATACGAAAATAAAAAAGAAACATTTTTTGATCGTATAATTGCAATAGATGAGACTTGGATTCGTGATTTTGAGCCGGAATTAAAATCTCAAAGCAATATTTAGAAAGGAATAATATCACGACTAATTTCAGATAATACTATCGAAATAATCTTATTAATATGATTAGTGTCCGAAGTTATTCTGTCGTCGGACCGGTTTGATTCCTTTCTTCAACATTATAAAATATAAGATTATTTGCACGTCTATTTCGTTCGTTTATTTCATTAATGACAAATTCATCGGAAAAGTTAGTTGTATTGATAGAATTTTTATAATTAATAGAATTGTTTTTAACATTTTCGACATCAACAAGTAACTTTTTAATGAGGGTTTTTAATTCTAGTTATTCTTTCAATCCTTGGTCGCAGCTAACACAGAAAAATTTTAGTAATCTATTTTTCAATTCAAAACATTTGAGTTCAGTTGCAGATATTCCTGAGCATTTATTATGAATCAATGAGGAACAACTATCACATTTTAATGGATTGTCGAGTTAAGCAAATGTTATTATTTGGCATAATAAACAGATAAAAATTACTATTAATGAAAATGTATAATAAACTGGTAAATTATTAATTTAAATTTTTGTAAGATAAGGGACAGAAACACAGCAACGCACGAAAACACGACCGCACAGTTCAATAGTCTGATGATAACTGATTTAATAATTTCTTAGAGAATTTTTTAATGAAGTCATCATATTGACCAATGATGGTATAACTATTGATGGTACTATTAAAAAAGTTGAAATAGACGGTTTTAGCTTAGATGCTCCAGCAAAAAGCTTTATTTTAAAGATAAAGGGACATTCAGGATTTGATTCTTGTACCCGCTGTACTATAGAAGAAGAGTACTTAAAAAACAGAACTTGTTTTCCTTATTCTTCTACCATGGTAGAACGTTCTCATAGTGATTATATTAACAGAAACTATCAAGAACATCATGTTGGAAATTCTATTTCTATATTGAAAGAGTTGCCTATTAATATTATTAGCTCATTTGGTCTCGATTACATGCATTTGACCTGTCTTGGTGTTATGTGCAAATTAATACATTTATAGGTTGATAAAGGTCCTTTAAATGTAAGATTACCAAGCTCAGTAGCAAAGCAATTATCATTATCACTTTTGATACTAAGAGACTATATACCTTGTGAATTTTCCCGAAACCCAAGAGGATTAAATGATTTAAATCGATTTAAAGCCACCGAATTTCGACAAATATTAATTTATACGGGTCAAGTTGTTTTCAAAAATATTTTAAATAACGAATGTTATAAACATTTTATGGCATTAAGTATAGCTATGAATATTTTATTAAATAGCAATATGGCCAATTATGTAATATATGCTCAAAATTTATTAAATTACTTCGTTCAAACTTTTGAAACTTTATATGGACGACACTTTATGTCTTTCAATATTCATAGGTTAGTTCATATTTGTGATGACTATAAACGATTTGGACCATTAGATAACATTGCCCTTTTGAAAATTTTTTAAAAAGTTTAAAAAAAATGATACGTAAACACGATAAGCCACTTCAACAAATTATAAGGCGATGTAATGAAAAAAAATTTATTGAGAAAAAGTACATGAACAAAATTTGAAAAGCTGTGAACAATTAAAGCATAGACACACTGATGGACCACTTTTAGAAAATCTCATGGGAGTTCAGTATAAAAAGTTATACTTCAAAAATATTAAAATTAAAGTTGGAGACAATGCTAACTCATTTATATTAAATGATTCTAATGATATCATCAAAGTTGAAAATATAATAAGTTTAAACAAAACAAATGAGATTTTTATTATTGGAAAAGTATTTGAAGTGAAAAAAGCTTTTTATGAAAAACCTATTCCATTAACCTTATTAAACATTTATTTAGTTAATAACCTGTCAGTAACTCATAAATATTGGTCTTATGATTGTATTAAAAATAAAATCATGTTACTGGAATTAAATGAACTACAAATAGCCATTCCAGTTATACATGATATTGAAGGACAGTAATAAAAAATATTTTTTTAAGGTGAATAAATTTATAGCAAAATTATTTAAGTATCTTAGGAATTGAGATTTGTTTTATATTTTTAGATTAATTATTGAGTTTGATTTTATTGTAACTGGTAAAATGTATTTTAAGTTATACTAATCATTTAATAATCAACTAAAACTTATAATAATATTACTTTACCCTAATAACACATAATTTTTTTCAATAATTGATTAAGCACTTAGTTGACTAGTATATTGAAGAATAGATCTAATTATTAGACTATATTGTCTCAAATTTAGGTACATTTCTTTGTTAAACATTTAACTTCTTTTATTTTAAACACTAAGCATATAACTATATAGCGGACTATATAGTAAAAGTATATTACTTGTGAATGTTTTAAGTTATTATGAAGATTATTGTTTACTTCGAAGAGGAAAACTGCGTTGAAGTAGTGCCTGATTTTTGGTACAAAAATGATCGTTGTGCTTGGCCGAAAAAAAGCATAAAAAATTATAAGAAATATATTAATCGCCGTATTAAACCTAATGAAATAGATTTTGATTATTTCAAAACAAGGGCTATGTCCAATAATATTGGTAAAGTCTATACTAATTATTTACCTGGTTTTACTTTTTTAATGTTGATATTGTTATTATTTTAGTTAATTTATATGATGCACGCTCCAAATTAAAAATTGCTGAAGAAACTTCAGAGTTATCAACTTTTGAAAATGAAAGATCTAGTCAAAGTGAATGGCATCGTCTACCCGACTACTCTTATAACATTAAAAAAACAAAGTTGCCAAATAATAGCAGAAATCATAATGATTCTCCTGGAATCATTGAAAATCCTCCTCTACTCGACATTAATGATGATAGTAATACATTTTATATTTCAATTTTCTTCTTAAATGTTTGATCCATTATTTATAGTTTGATAGAAAAGTTTGTTAATGAATATGTGTCATAATTGTGAATAATATTTTTAATTATTTTATTCTTCTAAAGATTTGTTATTTAAATTTTATAATTTATAGTGATGTAGACAAAAGTTATGTTCCTGATAATAGTTAAAAAATCTTTATTCAGGTATAAAATCAAATGTATAATACTTAACCTTGATGAATTTGTTTATATTCTATATTATTTGCTTTTATTATTCTTCAATGAATTGTAAATGGGTTTATTATTATAAAACACATTTCTTAAGAGGGGTACATGTAAATCTCAATTGTTTTCATTAACAATTTATTCTAAATAATCAAAATCTGTGAGTTTGCATTAGTTATCTTGCTCTTGTACTCAATAATAAATATCCCCTTTGTAATCAGTGGCATAGTTACGAGGAGAGGGGGGAAGGGGGCACTTGTCCCCCCCACTCCTATTTTGATTGATAATGTTGTTGAATTGATTAATATATTAAAACCACAGTAACTAGTAATCACCAGCATAATTAAAAACAACGATGACATACGAAAGACTCGAATCATTGATTATGGTATCCATTAAAAAAGAAATTTTAGAAAAACTTCAAATGCAAGGCTTTGTGGACAAATTTGCTGAAAAAGATAGGCGCATGAAATTGTCCATAAGTTTGTAAAACAATCACAGTAAATTTTAAAAATAATACTTTTTTTTTTTAAAAAGTTGTATAGGTAATATTAAATTTGATATTGTATCATTTATTTTATTATTTTCATTTACTGAAATTAATTACATATTACTACCTATATACTTGTGTATTTAACTTTAGATACTCCATGATTATTATGAACAATTTTGAAATTTTGCTCCCCCCCCAACTAAAATTTCTAGCTATGCCTCTGTTTGTAATTAAGATGGTTATAAGATTAATTGGTTGTCACAATTACACAACTTCAACTTGGTCTCTATTATTAACAGTTTTTTTAGTTCTTTTTAGTGCAGGATATCTAGTGGTGCGATAATGTGTGGACCACACCCACTAGGTGTTTACTATTATTGGGAGAAGGCATGGGTTGAACCCTATAAACAGAGTAGGAAGGGTTTTTTTTACCTTTGAATTTGAAATTCCTCCTTTTCCCTAAGACTGATATAACTGCCACTGGTTCTTATTTCTATATTGTTTATATTATATACAGTAAATAAAAAAAGTTATAATTGAAATAATTTCTCAAATATATATGTATATTTTTAAATATATGTGATGTAGATGATGATATTATATTAAATTCTCCATCCGGGAAATGGAATGTTACTAAAATGAATAACACTATGATAACTGCTGGAACCAGTAAATAAAGACTTAATTTTATAAATACACCTACATCTAGTACATCTGCGCCTATTTTAAATAAATCATCATACTATTCACCTAGTGTAAGAAAAATAAATCAATGATTTTAGTCATTTTAGGTGGTCAAGCTTGATTTAATCAAGATATTTTTAATAAAATGTATAGTTAATTTATAAAGTTGATGATAGTTATTTTAAACTCACATAAAAAAATCTTTAGTGTATATATATATATATTGAAAAAAAATTATAAACTCTTATTTAATTAAAACATTAGCAGCTTCTTATTAATATAAATAATGATCAATTTTTAAAGTCATTAATTTGATCCATTAACTACGGAAGAAATTATTAATATAAAAATTACTGAAAAATCAATAGAATGTAATATATCTTACATATATAAACAATTAATAATATATTAATATGTAAGTCCTACAATATTATTTAACTAAATAAAATTACAAACATTTATTTAATTAAAACTACACCTAGAATGTTGAAAATCTTTATTTGTTTACATTAGTTTTGAACATCTTATTTTCAAAAACAGCTACTTTCCATCAAATGCTTATTTATATTTATACATAATGATCTTGATTAAATACATTATTATAATAATAAATAAATAATTTTATCACACACGTATTTCTAAGCTAAAAATAACTAAAGGATGAGAACATTGACAATAGATACTAATTATTCCACGTTGCTTTTCTTCTTTGATTTTCATATCTTATTTTTCATTTAAATTATATTACTTAGCACCTAGAAATTCAAAAACTAAAATAATATTAACTATAAACAAATAAAATATTTTAAATTAAAAATTAATAAACTCATTTAAAATTCTATTATTTTTTCAACTAGCTTATATAAGTTGTAATAAATGATGAAATGCAAAAAAAAAAAAAAATTAAAACTAAAAATTATTTAATGATTAATACTTGTAAATGAATGTATAAATAAATAAATAAATAAAGGAAAGCTCAGTCTGGAGTATCATTATATTTATAAAGTACACCTGGTTTATTCTCATATATTTAGAAAACTAATAAAAATGCAGCTGATTATGAAAAAATAAAGGAAACAATGCTTTGAGAAAAATTAGTCATTTTATATAAAGATAATTTATTTTAATAGGAAAGATTATTTAAAATGAATTCTTATTAGACATATTTATGTAAATTAATATAAACATTTTAATAAATATTTTGGTTATTAATATTTATTATTATCTAAAATGTATTTTTATAAGATATAAAATCAGATTGTAAATTTAAAATATTAATAAAACTGTTTTTTCTTTTATTGTTTATGTGTAACTCTTCTAAATCTGAATTAAAGTAAATGTTTTTAGTATGTCTGTATTGTAATCAATTATTAACACAAACACAATATTATCTATAGTATAGCGAATAAGAATAATTGAAATTTGAATATTATATAAAAATGTATAAACGTATTAATGAAAAAATAAAAAACAACTCACCAAATAATATTGTTAACTATTGTCGTATAAAATATCAAAACAATATATCTAGCAAATTCGCTAAAATTCTAAACAATAATATTAATAATATAAAAATTGCTAATTATTAAATAATTATATATTAAATTAATTATACTGGCTCTTATTTTAAAAATGCTGGTATATATAGCATTAAATATAACTCTAAGAAATTTTATATAGGCAATATATAATATTATTATTCTTCATTTCCCTCGCCCTTTTCCCAACTATTTGTGGTCGGCCATCTTTGTCCTAAACTTCTATTTGTCTCAATATTCTACGTCCCCTATGCACACATCAATATCAATAGGTAAGACACATATACATTTTAAGATAAGATATAAAAAACACATTTCTGAAATAAAATTAAAGAAAACTGCCCCCAATTCAAATTTTGCTAAACATGTTTTAGAAAATAATTATAACATTTACTTTAATTCAGATTTAGAAGAATTACACACACACAATGAAAAAAAAAATTAATATATTTAATATTTTAAATTAAATTACAAACAAATTTTATATCTTATATCAATAGATTTTAGATAATAATAAATAATAATAACCAAAGTGTTTATATTAATTAACTTATCCATGTCTAATAAGATCTCATTTTAAATAATCTCTCTTATTAAAATAAATTATCTTTATATAAAATGACTAATTTTTCTCATAATTACCTTCTTTTATTTTTTCAAGGAATGCATTCAGAGAAAAATTGGTCTCATTTTACATTGAGATAATTAATTTTAATGAGATAGAACGAGAGAAATTATTAAAAATGAGTTCTTATTGGACATAAATATGCTAAAAAATATAAATACTTTGGTTGTTATTATTTATTATTATCTATAATTTATTAATATATTATTTTTAAAATCTGTTTATACATTTAGAATATTATTAAAATTATTATTCTATGTTTCATTGTGTAACTCTTCAAATAATGAATTAATATAAATGTAGAAGTTAATACAGTATTGTCTATCAGTGATGGCCAAACTTTTTTTACCTCGGGCCATAAAAAACAACTTTTTTTTACCATGGGCCATAAAAAAATGCATTTTCAATTTTTTTTACGTAAATGCAAAATATTACAGTTACTGTCAATCGAGGTGACTTGGAACGATTTTGACATACTTCTTGTTATTCTGAGCTTAAAAAAAATTGCACTGGACTACAAAAAATACATTAATGTTTGCATACGTCTCATGAATAGGATAAGACCTTTCATTTAGTTTTTTTACCAAAACTGAACTTAAAAAAAAGTAAAAAGTACATGTTCCAAGTCATCTCAATTTTTGGATGACTTGGAACAGCTATGCAAATTTAATGTGAAATTCAATTCAAGAACGTTAGAGGTGACTTGGAACAACATTTTTATTTTAAAAATTAACACAAGAACATGTTAAATAAATATTAAAAAGAAACAGGTTAACTTTACCTTTTTTAAACAGTAAACTTAATATTTAAATAAAAAAATATCAACAACATGATAAAAACAAAATAAAAACTTTTTAAATAGGAAAACATAACTTAATAGCTTCCTACTTAATAATAATACTCAATACTTAGGGTAAGTACTATTGGAATTGGAAATTGCCTCTTCTTTGGTTTTTTACAACCATTTTTTTGATAATTTGTTCTCTTGAGACAGTCACTTCATCAATTATGAATGGGAAACAATAAAAGCCCGTCATCTGGTTCTTTTTTCTTAAAAATTAACATGTATATTAATTTTCTTCAATTTCAGTCACTTGGTCTATAAACGTTTCAATGTTTTTTTTAATTGTTTCAAATTTGACCATAACAAAATAATTAACAATTATTTCATCAGATTTTTTTTTTTTTTCTTCAGTCTTATAGTTAGTTGGTGTATAGTATTTGTCTGTCTTATTTAAATTATTATATTCATTATAATTTTCATTGACATATGACTTGCTAGGTTATCCCCAATAACTATTTTGTTACCTTCCAACCGTCGAAAATGGGGTATAACAAGAGTTATGAACCAATCTTCAAAAATACTTTGGTCAAACCACCCAGATGGCGTTCGATTATACCTGCATTTTTCTGGACCTCCAGTAGTCCATGAATTCCATAACTGTGTGGATTTATATACAATATAAAGAGGTAACATTGAACCAGCGGCATCAACAGAAAACATCACTGAGGTTGCTGACTTTGTCGAATCCATTATATTGTCAGCATGTTTCGAGGTTTTTCTTACCAGGATCATCAACAAAATTTGTTTCATCGTAATTAATGATATTTTGTGGAGGTATACCTAAGAGAAAAATTTCCAAGTTATCAAGATATTCATTAACTACTGTTCTTGACACTGCAGCTCGTGAACATTTTATATCTTCACCAAGTCGTATCTTTAGAGCTTTATTGTGTCTTTGAATAAAATTTTTATACCAAACTTCACCAGGTAAATTGTTTTTAAATGGTTTAAGATTTTTACCAGCACGATCCAAGTATGATTTTACTAGATTTTTCACATCATCTTTTTCAAACGGAAAATCCCAATCAGAGGCGTACAATATAGCATATACAATACATTTTTCTTCTAAGGGAGTTAATACATTTTGTCCACCATATTTATTAACGTTTTTTTTATTTATTTTTCTACTCAAAGTAGAAATGGATAAACCATATTTCTGATATGCTTCTCTGTATGAAAGTTTTTTTTGTCTTACCTCATCGAGGGCCTGTTGAAGTGTTTCGTCACTGTAATTTATATATGTCCGTCTACCCGGTATACGCTCGTATTTGTTTGGCATTTTTGGTGTTCCAAGTCACCCTCAATTTTCTTCTGTAAAATAAAACTTAACTTATAAAATTGGAAAAAAATGTTTAAGGACTTTTAACTACAAAAGTCTGCTTTTGAAGTGTCCTTTAATGTATAAAAAAATATACAAACCTTTAAATTTGACTTCAATCACCAACATTTGAAGTACTTTTGAGAGCAATGATGAAATCGCTGTTATCATAAGAAATGTTTGGTTATTTTTTTGGTGGTAACGATAAGACCAACCACATGGTCGATGATAACATTTATTATCACAAATATTGTAAATTTAATTTGAATGGAGGCAGAATTAAATTATATCATTTTGTTTCATAGATAACCTAATATGTTTAAAAAAACACCCGAAGTGTTTCATTTCACCTCGCAGTTCCAAGTCACCTCGATTGACGGTATACAAATAAGTGCTGTAATATAGAAGACTTTCGCGGGCCAGATATTAAATGATGGCGGGCCGGAGTTAGCCCGCGGGCCGTAGTTTGGCCACCACTGTTGTATATAACTTGTAATGGGCTGTTCGATTAGCAAAGATTAACAAATGTAAATGATCCAATACTAGTCTTTTATTACTTTAGCAACAATATCTGAAAAATTACACAACATCACGGTTCACTTGATACACTAGAAGTGACAATAATAATAATAATCCCACATTCGCTCCCATCTTAAATAGAGTCCGTCTCGGACGCCGAATCTTCATCTGAATTTAGACAGTCTTTTCACTTTTTCATATAATCTGTTCCTGTGGTATTTTTTACAGGACCTTCACCTGAGCTCACCTTCAACACTTCATATTGGTTTTGACCACGGCTACCAGTGATACAATATGGTCCAAGGTACTTGCTTTTTATCTTGGATAGTGGAAGAAATTGTGTTTTTTTTTATGGCAACCAAATCACCAATCTTGTAATTTGTTGCTGCCACCCTTCTACGATCAAATGTTTTCTACTTCTCTTACTGAGTTTAAATATGGATTGCTTAGCCTCTTGATGTTCTGTTTCTCTTTTGTCCAAAAAAATTTTTTGCATACTATTTTTGTAATAAACTGCATATTGGAAGTAGATCTGAATGTTTCATTTCGGTTCTAAATGTTAATTTAAATGGAGTCATATTAATTGATCGTTACCATGAACTATTTAATGCCATCTGTACTCTTGGGACATACTTAAACCTTTGGCTTGGATCATCAATAATCAATGTTACTACCGCCGTCGCTATTGTATCATTGAATTTTTCAACCTGTTCATTTTTCCTTGGCATTCCTGTGGTAATATGTACATGATATATGTGTGAATCGTTACAGTACTTCTTGAACTCTTCAGATATAAATGCAGCACCACGATCCTATATCAGACGTGTTGGATTACCGAATATAGCTTGTAATATATTATTTTGATGTAGTACTTTTTGTAGGAAAGATCCAACAGAATATTGTGAATACATCAATAATAACCAGAATATGCTTATATCCACTAGGGGTATTTGTTAATGGACCTATAATATATATGTGCCACATATGTAATAGCAGATCACCTTTGTCAATCATGTTAAGGAATCTTTCTTGTTTACCTTGTTTCCGGTTGATCAAAATACAAGGTATACAATTTTTTTATGAAACGTTCCACCTTTTCACGAACATTAGAAATGGAATATTTTCTGTCTAACAGTTCAACAACTTTTTTAACACCAAAATGGTCAATATTATGTGCATTCCGAATCAACTCTTTTTGCATACCTTTTAGGGTAACCAGTCATTTTCTATCATCTCGTACTTCATAAAGTAAATCATTTTCTACAATATAATAGTTCATAAACCAGATCCGTTCATCCTTGGTGTTAAGGTTTTTACCTCAATATCATCCTGTCGTACTCTTTGTAATTGGACTATAAATTCACTATTGATAGTCATACATAATGGATACCGGCTCAACGCATCTCCATGTGCCATACTGCACCCAGCTCCTCGATGCTCAATAGTGTATTTAAATTCGCTTAAAAACAATGCCCATCGGGCTACGCGGGTTGCGAGTTCCCTTTTTTCTAATTTTTTAGTAAATACAGCACAATCAGTTACTATTATGAAGTATAGTCCTAATAAATAAGATCTAAACTTTTTCATAGCTTTAAAAATTGCTAAAACTTCTAAAACTCATAACTATGGTATCTTTGCTGTGCTTGTGTAGTTTTCTTGCTCATAAAGTATATGGTGCAATAGATTATCACAATCTTTCTGTAGAAGTATAGCACCAAAATCATACACACTGGCATCAGTGTGTACCTCAGTAACTGAATGCTGATTAAAAATTCCTAATACAGCTGCCTCTGTTAATTTTTTCTTTAGCATATTAAATGCACTTTCCTGTTAAGGTCCAATTATACATGGTATCTCCTTCTTAAGTATTTCATTCAATGGACGAGCAATTAAGGCATAGTCCTTAATAAATTTACAAAAATATCCAACGAGTTCTAAAAATCTTTGCATTTTGTAATCTCGGATATTTTACCACAGCAGCCAACTTTAACGGTGATGGATTCAACTTGTTTTGTTCAATTCAGTATCCCAAATAATCAATTTGCATTTTAAGGTTAGGTTAGATTAGTATTAATAATTTTTAAACTAAAATTTTTAAACCTAATTTTTAAACCATGGTTAGCTGAAGTTCTTAAAACCATCTTTAGTCATTCAATATTCTCTTCAACTGTGCTTGAAATTATAACTAAATCGTCCATGTAAACCAACAAATATCCCTTCCGTATTATATTTCTGAATACATAGTTTATAAAATGTTGAAATACAGGTGGAGAATTACACAATCCACAAGGTGTTTTCAAAAATTCAAACTTTGCATCTGATGCAATAAAAAATGTGTATTTAATACTTTCTTCGTCCATAGCTACATGAAAAAAACCGTTCTTTAAGTCTAACGCTGTAAATATTTTAGCTCCTAATAATTTATCTAACTGGTCTTCTACGAGAGGTAAAGGGTAACGATTCTTAATAATTTTACTGTTCAATCGACGATAGTCAATACAAACATATTATAACAAATTATTATGTTAACATATTATAGTTAATACCCGAAATGTATCATATTTTTTTGGTACAATTACTATTGGACTAGCATAATCCGGAAAATTAGGTCTTATAATACCTTCTTCAATCCAGTCTGCTACTTGACTTTCTACAACTGCTTTTTCTTTTGGTTATAAACGCCTTGGCCGCTGATAAATGGGTTCTTAATCATTGACTATAATTTTAAGTTTTATTGGCGTAGTTTCTATGGTACATGGTACATAGTTAGATATCATATTACATATAACTGTATAATGTTCTCTAGATCCTATATCAATCTCATTTGTGTCATTAGCTATTTTATTAATTTTGATCACTCAAGGACTGATTTTTAGTTCAGCGTTGGTTTGAAATAATGATCTACTATTATAAAATCACACATTATGTCCTTATCGGGGACATAGTACACTTCAACTGTAAAGTAGGTTTAACTGATAAGTAGCCTTATCAATTTCTAATTCAGTCATACATTTTTGATTGTTATAAAATATAGTTCCAGCTGGTTCATTTATACTAACTTTTGTATTGATAGTATCAATGCATTTAACTAATAATTGCCGATATGAATTCAAATCATAGCCAATATCTATAAGAGCTAACGTTTTGATTCCTAAGACATTAATTTCTTTAAATATTCGTTCATCAGTATTCACAGCACTCACCTGATAAATTTGAGGTTTTTTATAATTGTTCATGTGCATTGTTTGAGTTTTCTTATTTGGACATTCTGTTGATTTATGGCCAAAAGATCTGCAAGCAAAGCACTTAGTACATTTATCCAAGTCCAAACATTTCCTATGTTGATGTATTTTAGATCCACAATTAAAACATCTAATTACTGTGTTTGAAATGCCTGACGTCAAGTTCCGTTGCATATTACCTGTGTTATGATTATTTACAGCACTATTAGAAACTCTAAATATTCCAGACTCAGAGAAATGTATCCTTGACTTCATCTTAACATACAACTGTAGTTTTATTTTAAATTTATTTATTGTTATAGCACCATAAAGCAAAGACTTCTTTACTTTACTATCCTGAATACCAGCAATGACATAATCCAATAGTGAATCTTTAGGCATATCTCCTTATTTAGCTATTTCCATCATTTTAAATAAATATTGTTGATGAGTTTTGTCATAATTTTTTACTCTGGCTGTAAGTTGTCTATGTACGTCACCAGAAGTTAAATTATTACGAAACTCATTCATCAAACATTTTCTCAGTCGATTCCATAACTTGATTCCATTTTCCCGACTTAAGTATAGAGCAGCCATCCCTGACAATAGCAGTTTGCTATATATAAACATTTCAAAATCAGACCATCCACATACTTCACTCATTTATTCTAAATCTTCTATCCATTTTGTTATTGAATAAGTATCATCACCGGTAAATACATTAAGAGATATTCGTACATCATAAAATTTAATCGATTCTCTTACTTGACTAACATTATAATTTTCTGACAGTATTGTCGTTTGCTTTTGTGTTTACCTTATATTTGTGTGTCCTCGGCATCTTATAACACGGTCAAGTTCAAAAACACAAAATACGAAACGCGATTAACGATTTACTTCACGCACCACACGTTCTCACGCAACTTGGTCAAAACGAAATAAAATTCGAATTCATTTGAGGTTAGGATTACGAATTTACGATCAATTCATTAACGAGTGCTAATACAAACCAACAACCGGACCGATCTTCAAAATGAAGAAGTTAATACAGTATTGTGAGCGATTAGCAAACATTAACAAATGTAAATGATCCAATATTAGTCTTTTATTACTTTAGCAACAATTTAAAAACTACACATCACGGTTCACTCGACACACTAGAAGTGATAATAATAATAATAAATAATAATAATACTAATACTGGCATTCGTGTAACAGGTGATCTACGGCTTCTTTTTAGGTGTATCAGGTGATCTACCGTATTATACAAGGTGTAGTTGGTAATAATTATTATTACCTATTATTATATAATACTATTATTATACACACATTATCGTAGACCACAGTGGGACAGTATTGCGATAGCGATTAATGACATTTACAATATAGCTACGAGTCATTAGCAATGTTGCTGGATAGGTTAGTTTCAAATTGTTCGTTGGTTGGAGTTTGTCTCTAATGAATGCGTCTGAATTTTATAAAATGTTTACTGTAATTGAAATTATAATTATATTTGGCTAATTATTTTTTATTTTTATATTTGACGAATATTTTTATGATATGACATACTTGTAGTAAAAAATATAATGTGTTTTTATACTGTTAAACGTAGATCACTTGTCCTGAATTCGAAAATCATCCACCCCCCATAGATCACTTGCTACACGAAGTCACTAATACTAATAATAATAATAATAATAATAGTCCCACATAAATGTTATTTTGGTAATTTAATATTTCTAAGTCTATAGTGATTTCAAAATGTATGTTATGGTTATTTTCTTAAACATATTTGGTAAAATGTAAATTAGGAGCAGTCTTTTTTAATTTAAAACAGAAATGTGTTCTTTATATCTTATTTTAAAATTTCTATTTGTCTGCCTACATAACATTTATAACAGTTTCATTTATGTTTATATATACCAACATTTTTAAAGAAGGAGTAGTTTTTAGTCCTATTATTTGTGTTTGAATAAAATATAATTAGTTTAAAAGTAATTTTTACATGATTATTATTATGTATTATTGCCATTTGTTACTTACTACAATAATAAACAATACTATTTGGTGAGTTGTGTTTTTTTTTTATTTAATAAATTTATGAATGTTTTTAATAATACTTTAATGAAACTATTTTTATGGGGTATATTTTAGATAATATTAAGTTTGTGTTGATAATCAATTTAATTTAATACCTTACATTCAAAAAATAACCATGACATAATTTTGATATCAATACAAAATTTAGAAATATTAAATATCCAATATAACATTTACATTAATTTAGCTTTAAAGTGTTACTCAATAAAATATAGAAAAATAGCTTTAATAATATTCCAAATGTATAAACAGATTATAAAATTAATATCTGATATTAATTCATATTAAATAATAATGAATAATAATAACCTAAGTATGTATATTTTTTAACATATCTATGTCTAATAAGAACTCATTTTAAATGATCTCTATGTATAAAAACTTATTTTTTTCAGTGTATTCCTTCCTTTTTCATATTCAGTTGCAACTGTATTAATTAATAAATTAAATTAATTAAATAAATTAATAAATACATGATGATTAATTTATAATTCCAAACTGGTTAGACTTTACAAATATAATATGCTCCAGGTAAAGCTTTAAATTATTTATTTATTTATATTTATAAAATATGTGTTAATTTATTTATATATTAAGTTCTAATTGTTTTTGTTTTATTAATTTTTACATTTATAAAAATACATACTGTCCAATTTATTTTTATAATGAGAAAGTTCATAATGCTTGTCCCATATTGGTGATTTATCAGCATATAATTGTTGTTCCAATGCATCCAAATAGCTGTAATTAATTCATAATAGTATTAAACACTGGTGACTATTTTATACAAATAATACTGAAAATCAATTACATAGGCAAATAATCCAGGCAATAGAATTTTGTAAGACTTGACCATTTATTACTCTCCTTAAAACACCAAGTCTGTAAATTATTTCTAAATAATGGCAATGTATACCTCAATACATCTTGTCCAAATATCATACTTGTTCTGTACCGTTTTGAAATTGAATGTATACATCTAGGAAGATAACAATACATCATATATCTGAAAAACCCATAAAAATGCTTGTTAGTATTAAGTATGCGCACTATTTTTTTAAATTTTTTTTTTTGTTTAATGTTGCTTAAAATATGCATCACATTTACTTAAATACCTACCTTTGATAGTAATATTCATAACTTTTTGTATATTGATTTGAATTAAGAACAGTAAATTCTTTGGTAGGCCATATCCATGAATCAAAATATCTTATAACAAATTTGGAAATTATAAGAAAACGTTTTAGTTCCTGAAAAATGCAATTCATCTATTTTTATAAATATTATGAAAAATAAAAATAAAAATATTTAGTATAATCTGATAGCTAATAATAACAGAAAATCAAAACTTTATCAAGTTATAAAGGAGCGTCATTGAATTACTCCCACAAGTAATTTATAAATATTTATATACACCCAATACATTTAATAAGTAAAACGAGTGATTTCTCATTCATATGATTTTGAAATTTGTAAATTTTTAATAATGCATATTTTATCAAGCCGATATCCAATGTACAAATTTTATAAAATAAAATTTAATCATCAGCAAAATAATAACTATTTTAAAATACTTAAAAAATACATAAAAGACAATCTAACTGTAAATCTAACTTATGCAAAAACAATTATGAGTTTTAGACATACCAAGGTATACCTAACAATTATCATTATTAAATCTACAATTAGTTGGGTACGCAGAGGTAAGGATCTAAGGTTTTAACCTACTCCTTTCACTTGCAACAGAAAATCTAAACTTTACAGCAAGTAATAAAGGAGCATTATTGAATTTCTTCCCACAAGTAATTTATAAATATGAACATAAACCTTGTACATTTAATAAATTAAAACGAGTGGTTTATCATTCATGTGATTTTCAAATTTGTAATTTTTTAATAATACATATTTTATCAAGTTGATACAAAATGTACACATTTTAAATATATAATTTAATAATCAGCAAAATAATAAAAAGTTTAATACATTCAAAATTTTTAAAATTAAGTCTTATATAATTTAGTGTTTTTGGAAGGAAGCACAAGTTTCCTGTGAAGTTAAAAATGTTTTATTATATTTAACATGTTCATTGTCAAGTATTAAATAGAATTGACAAAACATATTATTTTTTATAACAAATACAATAATTTTATTAAGAACAATATATACATGTATGTATGCTTAAAAATGGCAGAGAAATAATTTAATGGATGTTTAAGACTATCAATAATATAAATCAAACCCATACAAAAGTATTTATGAGCTTATACGTACCAAGGCTTACCTAACAATTACCAAAATTTAATCTACAATCCTATACACCCATTTACGTTTTAAAATTGTATATATTGGTCATAGAAATTCATAATTTTCAAAATACATACTTCCGATTTTTATTGGATAGTGTTCAATTCTATTATTATGAGCTAGTATTATGTAAACATTCTTATTTAATTTTAAGTATATTTATTTATTGTTGACTTACTTTAACATCTTTTCCATATACAAATAAGCAAAAGTTCAATAAAATTTGTTCTATGTTAGTCTTTTCAAACGGCGGAGATCCATAAATTGTTTCAATATTAAATGACATGAATGAATGAAGACGAATACAATTTTTTATTTCCTATATAATACACAGTTTTTTTGAATATCAAGAAAGTAAAGAATAAGTATTTTGAATGTTACTTACACGATGAATTAAAATCAAAATATTTTCTAATACCAGATTTCTATCACACTTGGTTTTTTTTGACTCATGTTCTAAAGTTCCTTTTATATTAATGATATCAAATACCAATGTTGTTAAAAAAGTAAATTCCATTGTTGATGCACTGAACAGATCTAACATATGATCAGCTTAACAAAACAAAATTGTTATTTAAAATGTATACATAAAGTAAATTATATTATTTTAGCAATTTTAATTTAATACTTTCCCAACCAAATAGGCTGTATCTAATTAATGTAGTTCAATTATCCATCTAGCTTGTACAAAGCTTATAACTATTTTTAACTACATACATTTTAAGTATTTTTAGATATGTGAATTATTGTTATGAGTAATTCAATAAGAAACTAAAAAAAGTTTCATCACATGAGAAATTAAAAAGTTATTCTAATTTAATAAACAATCGAAATTATGTTTATGATCTTGATTAGGCAAAAACTGTTATGAAGAAAATAATTAAACAAATTGAATTACTCTCAAGCAATATGAAATTGTTTGAAAATCTGTAAATTTTGTTTTAAGGTTGGTTGATCATTTTAGTTCCAAGTTAGAATGTGCAATAAGTAACATTTCTGAAATGGAAAATAAAATGCAAGCCTATTAATAAAAATTTAATAAGTTTATGAAAGAATTCTTGCTTTTTTTCTTGTTCTTCTTAGCTTACTAGTATATCAAGTACTATTGCTGCCTTTAAGAGGCCATATCATTTTTAATATTTAAGAATTCATTATAATACATGAACGATACATGATAGATAATTTTCATACAGGTAATGTAGGACATTGGTAATTAATTTTTTTTAATTCAATAAAAGAAAAAGTAAAAAATAAATATATAAAGTAAATTTAGAATAGGTACATAATTATCAGATATAAATCACCATGTTATAACTGGTATTATGATAAAGAATTTTATAGATTTTTACGTGAATATTTAAAGTAAAAAAACTTCCTTTTTTATGAGTCATATAGCCGAGCGTATATTTTTAATATTCCTCTTTTACATCCGTCATCTTTACTCATACATATACCTCACAAATATGTGAACTCTTTTTTTACAGTTTATTGCTCTGTTATCCTATTTGTTGTATTCTTGCCCTAATATTATTGTTTCTAATATACACAAGAACTTAATTATATCTTAATATTTAGTTCATTAAGCAGTGTTTCTTCCATACTTTTCATGATCCTTTGTAATTATTTTTCATTTATATCTATTGCTGATAGATCATATCCATACTATAACATAATTTTTCTGCCATTTATCATTTTACCGAAATACATTTTATTTATAGTTATGTCTATTGATCCATGGATTTATGCATTTAATAGATAAGAAAGTAGACCCCTGCCTTACTCCTTTTCATAAGCATCCTTCTTCAGGTTTTTAATTCTTACAACAGCTGTTTCCTTTTAATATATTTTGTAAAGTAATCTCTTTTCATTTAATTTACTGGCTTAAAGGATTGTAGAATAATAGTAATAATGATAAATTTGTTTTCTTCGATTTTGTTATTCTCTTTTTTTGGATTTTATTTTATTGAAACAATATATGTTTTCTTTTTCACTATGTATTTACAAGAAATGAATAAATTATTTCAAGTCTATTTTTTATTATATTATTTGTTCTAATGATTTTAATTTTCAATATAAAAAAAAAAAATCTTTTTCATAAGACAAAATCAATTGTACATAAAATTAATAAATAAACACTTTACTTACATTGTAAATGACGACAACTAGATTTGACGCAAATATTGTCTTTCCAACCATAAGAGTCACACATAACTCCAATAAAAGAACCTCCTTTACATTTACAATTTTTCACCTAAAAAATAAAGTAAGATTTAATATTTATAAGTTTGTATAAATATTAATAAGAATATATTATAATAGGTATATTGTATACACAATGTTTTTTTAATGTGTTTTTAAAATTAACTGTTAACATGATTTAAAAATAATCATGATTACTGTCTAAATCCTGTAAAAATATTGTTGCTGTTCTGCTTTTGATTTCTCATTTCAATATCTGGAAACAAATGTACAAGACTCATTGCATTTGTATTAATTTCACACAGTTTCTATAAACCTAATAATAGTGATATTATTATCAATTTTTATATACAATGTAATTTTATTCTTTATAAAAATTGCACAGTTATAACCATGTAACTGTATTTAGTTATATAAATGTGTAACAATTATGAGTGATCATAACATTTAAAAACTAAAAGAAAAATAAGGACATATTTTGATCTAAAATGTTATTTTGTAATACATTATAATACATTTTTTTCACAATAGCAAAGAACAAAATATTAATTATATCATTATCTTTTATATTTATGAAGCTGTGAAGGGCTTCTTGGTAGAAATAGAAACAATATTTTTCTTAAAAACATATTATATTGGTCTTAAATTCATCATCAATTGATTTGATTAGTCATTGTGGAAGGAAAAATTAGAAATTAACAGCTGAGCAATAATATCATGTTTAATTATTGATTCTAGTATAACACTTGAAGAATAACAGAAATTATACTTATTTGTACCTATTCAGTAAAATGTAGTTGGTTGTTGGGATCACAATATTATATGTTATGTTATATTATATTATTAACTTACAAACATTTTAAATACACCCAATATTATATTATCTTCAGACTCCGGCTTAAAAATACCATTATGTCAAATGTCAAGTTTAAATTTTTAATTTTGAGTTTAGAATTTTCATTTGTTATTAGGTACATCAATTAAAATAGGTAATGACACTTCATATCTAATCCAAGCCAATAATCATAGTACCTGACAAGGGATGAACTTGGTTAACGTCCACAGTATTTCCACACAATCCCTATCCTGAAATTTATCTTTGTAAGTGTTCACTCTGTCGTATAACGCGTCGTTATCCATCCACAAACTGGGCATCAACAACAGTTGGTCCGATTGCTCAATATCAGTTGGTTGGCGATTTGAAACTCCACCGCACAAGTTGATTCTCTTCACTTTCAGTGCACTCCATATGCCACCCATCGTAGCACTTACAGAAGGTAAATAAATTGCGAGTGGACGTGCTAAACGACGGCGATAGAGAGCGAAGTGTAAATTACGGACACACCCTATTGGCTTAAAACTCGAAGTACACAAAACGCATCGATTGTTCTGAAACAACTGAGCACTGGACCACGATCGTCTGCGCATACGAGATTGGCTATTGCGCAAGTCGTGAGCGCTGGTATCCTGCAGCCGCTCTCCATAAGCGCACCGCGAAGGGGCCGAGTACCGCTTCTGATAATGATATCACACCCGTCTCGCCCACAGCTCACTGTATTGACGAAGATCAATAGCGCGCAACGGTCCGGGCGAAGTGTGCAAACACGAACACCAATCACCCCGTTCTCGCGGCCAGGGTCCCGATCGATTAAGGTCTATCTGAGTATATTTACGACCCGAGGTGTAAAGCTAACCCAACTTTTGAAGATATTTTGTACTATTCAAGTGTTTTTCTATAAAAATCAGTAGCCTTATCGTCATTTTCGTGTCGCCAGATATCTTCCTCATACTCGTTAATAAAAATTAAAGTAAATTAATAAACGGTGCTTCGTACACGTACTTGTTATTATTCACATTAGCATAGCTACCTGTAGCAAGGCAGCATTCTGTAAGAAAAAAAAAACATTAAGTACCAATATTTAAACCCTGCAGATGTACATACATACCTGTTTTATAATATATAATAGCAACATATCATTATGTCATATATCTCAATATTTTAAATACTATTTTGATAATTGGTTATTAAATGTTTACATAATTATGTATTATATATATTTGTTGTGTGATTCGTTTTTTTTTATTTCTCTATTTTATAACAAATTTCTAGTGATAACAGTAATCCATCAAATATCGATATCACATGTAATAAATAATAAACTATTATTCATGGGTACCTATTGAGATTGTTTGCACTATATTTATGTATAATTATATTGTATATATTTTATATACTTAAGAAGCCTGCTCGCCGCGACCTGTTTTTTTGCTGTAAAACATGCCTTACAGAAAAAACTCTCACGGCTCGTATAACAATCAGATTTCAATAATTTTTTTTTTGTAAGAAAGACTTCTTACAGGGCGCATTGAACTTCAATTTTCGAAATTGTATGTTAAAGCATCACATTAACAGTTTTAATTTGATCAATTTTTCTTTTTTTTTTAAAACATATTTTTTTGCCGTTTTAGGTCAAAAATTTAAAAATCAAAGTTCAATTCGACCTGTAAGAAGTCTTCCTCTTTCTAACAAAAAAAAAGTTATTGAAATCTGATCATTCTACGAGCCGTGAGAGTTTTTCCTGAAAGGCATGTTTTAGAATAAAAATCTAACTTACATTTTTCTGTTCGTTTATACCATTGACATGTGCACATTGGCAGCGCGTGCGTGCAGAATATCCCCGTAACCCGCACCTTACTGTATACGGTATAGGTATTGAATACTGATAACTGATAGTCAATATGTGCATGTTGAAACGCATTATCTAAAATCTACGCAATAAAAATATAATAATATACACTAAACACCACACTCGTCATCATATAAAATTAGACATAATTTCCCTTGTACACAAATAATGGGAGAGTAATTATAGGTAGATATTAGGCAAATAGAAATCCTTTCAATGATTTATCTTATACTTATTATATAATATAATAATTAGGTTTTCACTTTTTGTCATCAATTATAATTTATCGATCAAGCGGTCACAATCACAAATATTAATAAAAAAATATACAATACCTATAATATACATACAAAATACATACAAAATAAAATATGAATTATAGCCTTCAGTAGAACCGCTAGACCAGTGTTTCTCAACCTTTGTATAATGGCGACACACTATTAAGATATTTCATACTTTGCGACACATAGTAAAAAAAAATAAGAATAATAGATAGTATTAAATATTTATAATTAGTTAATAATATATAAACTTATAATATATAATCAATTATAATATATAAAACAACAAAGAAAAATATAACATAGGTAAAACAGCATTTTAATGAGAAATTTGTGACTGATATTTCTTACATAATGTATCAATTCGTGGTGAAATCTTCGATAAGGCGAATCTTAACTCCTCTCCGACATTAATAAATCTTTCCCTTTTTTTGTTTTTAATTTCATTCAAAACAGAAAAAGCTACCTCGCACAAATATGATATCGAAAATAGTAATAATACGGAATGAGCCAATTTTGTTAAGTTCGGATATTCTTTTTTTGTGTAAATCCAAAATTGGTTTAGCTCGAGCTTATTAAATTTCATTTGAAGAGTGCGATCGTTTTTTAACTCTGCAAGTTAGGTTTTAGTAACAAAAAAATATTGTTGTTAATAAATTAAGAAAAAGTCTATTTGACTATAGAAGTAAATGACAACTGAGCGGGGTTTCATCGATTCCGCCAAACCTTTTTATACTTGGGTACAAGGCTTATCGATTCCGCCAGTGCAGGTAGTCTAAAAACGACCTATCGATTCCGCCAGGGAAAAAATAATCTTCCCGAACATTTTAGTTTTATTTTACTTACATAGCTATAGGTATTATAAATATTATATGAAATACCTGTATAAAATTGTTATCGCCAATTGATGATAATCTAACTTGTAATGATGTGAAAAACGACTAATAGTATTGTCCTACGCTAATGTGGTTAGTCTCAATTTATCATCGTGTCATTATACTTCGCAATAATGAATTTCGAAATCGTAGCTGGTAAACGAGAAAATGACTTAGTTATTTATCAAAATGAAAAATTTTTTAAAACAAACTTTGTGAAATATTTATGTGCGTATAAGTGGAAATGTGTTAATAAAAAGTGTAACGCAAAAATATACATTAACGAATCCTTAACGGAAATTTTAAAATATGATATTGACCACAAAAATCACGATAAACAGCCAATAAATGTATTGAAAAAAAAACTATTTTCAAACTAGCTTAAGAGAAAACTTACAGATGTAACAGAAAGTCCTTCAAAAATTATAAATCGTGAAATACTAAAAAATCCTCAAATTGAAAATATCATGGAAAATGACTATTTTGACAATATCAAACAATGTATACATCGAGAACGTAGAAAACTCATACCTTCGCTTCCGAAAAATCTTATTGAAGTCATTGAAGCTATGAATAATCGTGAAATAAGAACTGTTGAAGGTGAGTCATTTTTAATACATACAGATTTGGTGAACAATATGATGTGTTTTTCTACAGACAGTAATCTAAAGGCTCTAAGCTCGTCTAATACAATATTTGTTGATGGTACATTTTCTTCGTGTCGCTATGTTTTTTTATCAACTTTTTACAATCCATGTAAATATAAATGGGCATTATGTTCCATTAGTTTTTTTTTTATTACCTAACAAAACAACACATATTTATGAATTAGCATTTAGTTTTTTAAAAACTAAATGTGCTGAATTAAATTTAAATTTAAAATTGACAACAATTGTGGCTGATTTTGAAGAATCTATTCATGCTGGGGCAAAAATGATTTGGCCATTAATACAAGTAATCGGATGCAGATTCCATTTGACGCAATGTTTGTGGAGAAAAATCCAAGAAATTGGATTAACAGACGTGTATAAAAATAAAAACTGTGAGTCCGGAATCTGGTTAAGAAAAATATTCGGACTTTCTTTTTTAAGCCCAGAAGAAGTTTCTGATTGTTTTATAGAAGAGTTTATGGCACACTGCCCTAATGATTCAAAAATGTTAACATTTTGTGATTATTTAACTGAAAACTACATTGACGAGTTTTCGAGATTTCCACCCAATGTTTGAGCCTCTTTCTCCATTAGTTCTGAGCGAACCACAAATAGTTGTGAATCTTTCCACGCAAAACTAAATTCTTTGTTTACAAAATCACACCTAAACATTTTTTTATTTATATACGTCTTAAACACAAGGATCCAAATAGATACGTACATTATTCTCAGATCAACTCACAAAACAAAAATTAGTAAAAACACAAAATATATTCACCAAAAAAGAAAAATCGAAGATTTATTAAAAGATTATGAGGCTAAAGAAATTAACCGCTCACATTTCATTAGTTTGGCATCATCCCATTATAAAAAATAATATTGTAAAATCCATCATACTATAAAAATATCATTGTATAACTTAAAACTATATTTGACTAAATTAATTGTATTATTATATATATATTGTACTGTATTAATTATTATACTGATTATTAATTTTTAATTAATATTTTTTAGAATTATTTTTTAGATATATTATTATTATTATTATTATTATAACAGAAACAGGTTGACAGCAGCAGTTGCCAGGTCGAGGTAGAAATTGGTAGGTGGCGGAATCGATAGGTTGTTTTTAGACTACCTGAACTGGCGGAGTCGATACTGGCGAAATCGATGCTACATTGGCGGAATCGATAGGTCCCCAACTGAGCATACAAATAAAGTGAGTTATTGATACGGTGCATGTTTTCAGTATAAATATACTATACGTATTCACTGTTTAAAAATAAACGAAAATATCAAAAACCAACATTTATAAATTAAGATGACACACAATAGGCGATTCGAACGCGATTAATCGTTCAAAATTACGATAATAATAATAACCCAACGATAATAATACAATTTATTTTATGTCGATAGCTGAAAATCTATTTATTATCATGGAAATTATATCAAATACCTATTAATTTTTGTAAATAGTTAATAAAGTTAATTATGTTTTTTGTCATTTAATATTAGTACTTCACGCGACACATTTGGACTTGCTCGACGACACACCAGTGTGTCGCGACACACCGGTTGAGAAACATTGCGCTAGACGATGCTACCGGTTCATCTTGAACGCGTTGGCTAAACAATTATAAATTATATAGATACTTCCTAATTGAAAAGATTTAGTAGACACTTTGATTCAGTGATTATGATAACATTTATATGTTCAATGTATAGATTACAGCATTTCGACATGTATAAATTACTAATTAGACGCATGGAAAATTTCGATGGGCGACATTTAAATAAACAGAGTGCGTCGTGGGACGTACCGCAAAAGTAAGAATTATATTTTCAGGTTAGATATTATGATGGCATGATATGATAAATGTAATTGATAATAAAATTTTATCAATGTTAAGTCATTATTTTATTATAAATGCAAAATATTATTACAATATAACAATAAGAAAAACATATATCATCTTAATATTAATTATTTTATTTTGCTGTTCACACTCTTTATCAGTATCACTATCACTAATTTTGCCACGATACAAACTCCAGAAGGAGCATGCAATCACGTATAAATAAAGTTCTCACTTTAAAAGTTTCTTACATAAAATAAAATTTAAAGCGGTGTCCGGCGATACGTACCGTAAAATGGGGTGACTCATGACAGATCTTAACGTTTTTTCATAAATTAACCTCAATATACTGTTTCTAAAATTATGAAAAAAAATATACCATGTTCTTTAGGTGTGTTGAAATCATATAGAAGAAGAGTAATCATTAAATATATTAAAGTTCTCACTTTTTTTAAAGTTTAATTTTGTCCAGAGTGACCCGCAAAATGGGGTGACTTCGGACACTTATTTGATTTCAATGTAAAAATGATATTGATTGACTCCGGACAGTAAAGATATTTTTTTAAAAAAAATGTGACGGATTAAACAAAAAAAACAAAAACTTTACTATAAATACAACATATTTTATTAAATATTTTGAATTAACAAAAATAATTTTTTTCTTTTATAAAAATGTCAACTTAAAATTAAATTTTTTTCTTTTAAAACATAAACTAATAATTAT